TTGGCAGTACGCAGGCCTCTCACTGTTGTGGCCTCTCCCGTTGTGGAGCACAGGTTCCGGACGTGCAGGCTCAGCGGCCATGGCTCACGGGCCCAGCCACTCCGCGGCATGTGGGATCTTCCCGGACCGGGGCATGAACCCGTGTCCCCTGCATCAGCAGGCGGACTCTCAACCACTGTGCCACCAGGGAAGCCCTCCTTATATTTTTTTTTTTGAAATTTATTTTTTTATACAGCAGGTTCTTATTAGTTATCTATTTTATACATATGTCAATTCCAATCTCCCAATTCATCCCACCACTACCCCCACCCCACCGCTTTTCCCCCTTGGTGTCTATGTTTGTTCTCTACATCTGTGTCTCTATTTCTGCCTTGCAAACTGCTTCATCTGTACCATTTTTCTAGATTCCACTAGGTATTCCTTGTTGTATTATAGATACTAGCTCCTTGTTGGATTTAGACATGAAAATATATTCTCCAATAGTGCCATCTATTATAAATTATGAAATCTTTTTCTTCTCAGTACCTTTTTCCAGTGATCTGTTGATGCATAATGAAGCACTCAAAACCTCAGAAGCTTAAAACAAACCATTTTATTTTGCTCATGATATTTTTGGGTCAAAAATTGGGAGGGGCTCCACTGGGCGTTTCCCCTGCAATAGCCAAGGCAGCTGGGGCTGAAAGGTCCACTTCCAAAATGACTTCACTTACACTTCACTTCTTCAGTTTCCTTGGTGCTCCTTGGCTTCTCTACTTGATGTCTCAGTCTCCAGGGCCTATTTTTATGACCTTGGACTTCTCACAACATGGTGATTTCAGGGTAAATGGATTTCTTATGTAGTGGCTGGCTTCCAAGAGGCAGGAAACAGAAGTCGGGCAAGGTAAAAGCCACACCTGGAATTGGGACGCATCACTTCTACCGTATTCTCTTGGTTGAAGCACTCAAAGGCCCTGCCCAAATTCAAGAAAGTGGAGAGATGCCACCTTCTGATGACAGAGTAACATCACGTTGTAGAAGAACATGTGAGCTGGGAGATATTGTTGTGGCCAACTTTGGAAAACAGTCTGACACATTATTGATTTTTTTTCTTTTGTGAGTTGTCAAACCATGGCTTAGCCCTTCCATCTTTTCCTGATTTATAAAAACTTTTTATATTACATATCTCAAAACTTTTCATTTATAAAAATTATGTTTTTTCCAAGTTTTCCTCCTCAGGTAGAAGAATATAAGACAGTTTCATTTACTTCACTGTTTCCTTCTAAAAGTCTTTTGTTAGGATGAAAAAATTACTGAAATCTATATATCTCAAAAAATTAATGATATATGTTATAGGATCTTCTCAAAGAATAAACCATTTCACAGATATCTTTAAATTAATCCCATTATATTAAAAATTCAGGGACTTCCCTGGTGGTCCAGTGGTTAAGACTCTGTGCTTCCAGTGCAGGGGGCGTGGGTTCGACCCCTGGTCGGGGAACTAGGATCCCATATGCCACGTGGTGCGCCCAAAAAAAAAAAAAATTAAAATTGTATAATAAAATTAGAACAAATGGCACAAAAAGTTTAAAATCACTGATGTCTTCATTTTAACTTTCTAATACAATAGGCCTTTTCTTTCCCCTCATAAACTGCACATACTCTACACCTTTGTTTAACACTAAAATAAAAAAGTTGTCCACTCTTTTAATACAACTTCATTGACAATATGGTCCTCACCCCCTCAAAAACACTTCTTTAAAAACAATTTAAAATCCAGAAACATGTATTTATTTCAGAGTTAAAAAAAGCAAACTACAAAAGCAGTTTACAAATAATTTTTTTTGGTTAGTAAATGCACACAGAACTGCTTTCTTCTGTTATGTGAATTCAAGAACTTCTAATATTGTCTCAATAAAACTTTTCACAAATATTTATTTCATGAGAGTGTCAGGCAAGAAATAATACTGTCTTCAAGCAAGACTTGTCTGAAAATGACAAGTCATGCGTCGACTCATTAACTAAAGACTGTTAATAACAGAAAAGCAAACTAAAGCTGTATGTCCTGGAGTTTTTGCATGCCAAATTCTGGCACTTTGTGCTCAGGTTTAAGGTAGTTATTAACTCATTTTTCCCCAGCACATAGAAATATAATATGCATAGCATTTTAATTATAAAACTATAATATGACAAGTATCCTTTATTAAAATAATGTCCTTATTACAAATATTTCAGATAAAAATGGTTTTTAAAGTTGAAGCAAATTAATTTGGAAAAACAAATTCCAAACTAAACAAAAATGTTTAGTAAGTTCTAGAAGCACACAGGCACACTGAAGGATAAAGTCAAACAAAAAGAAAAACAAGGAAGGCAGAGGACACAGCAAAATGACCTCTTAAGGTCTTCTGAAGCTTTCAGATATAGCTAGAATCCTTTAAGTGGCAGGATATATGCTTGTGACTTTGTTTTCTTTCAAATGGAAATGAATTAACGTCTTTTAATTTTGACAGAGTATTTTGAAGTAACTGTTGGTTTGCTGTGTCTTGCCCATAAAAATCGTATGAGTAATACTCTGACTTCAAAAAGTAAGGCCCAGCAGAGCAGAGATAATGAATTCTGTCCTAGAAATATATGTAGGAAGAATCAGAAAATAAAATTGACAGGCACGTAAAAATTTTAAATACCTTTCCTCTTTCTCCCAGGAAGGTGGAGGTGAGGGGTGGAGACACACTGTGTGTTCAAGAGTATCGCAATCTAAAAACAAATGTATTTAACAGAAGAAAACAAAATACACATACAAGTGCACAAAGTACAATCAATAACTCTTCCTCTTCAAATAATGTAAATGAAAAATCAGGGCCAAATTCTGGATGGGTGATTTGTTGCCTTGTACATGCAGTTTTGCCACTCACAAATGTTCACAGATGCAGAAACACATTAATAAGAGATGCTTACTTTCAGCAAAGGGAAATGGAATAGAAAGGACTCGAGAAAAAGCCTCAAATAGATATTCCTACCCCCACCCCCACAAGTGTTTCCAAATTTTGGCTACAATCTAAAATAAAAACTTAATTTTTTGTTATCTTCCGAATTCTATTACCACGTACCTTGGAGATATTGCAGGTTCGGTTCCAGGCCACCGTGATAAAGCGAATATTGCAATAAAGCAAGTCATGCAAATTTTTTGGTTTCTCAGTGCATATAAAAGTACTGTTTACACTACACTGTAGTCCATTAAGTGTGCAATAGCATTATGTCTAAAAAATAATGTACAGACCTCAACTAAAAAATATTTTATTGGGACTTTCCTGGTGGTCCAGTGGTTAAGACTCAACACTTCCACTGCAGGGGGTGTGGGTTCGATCCCTGGTCAGGGAACTGAGATCCCGCATGCTGAGAGGCAAGGCAAAAAAAAAAATTATTGCCAAAAAATGCTAACCCTCATTTGAGCCTTCAGCAAGTCAGAGCAGTAACATCGAAGATCACTGATCACAGATCACCATAAAAAATATAACAATAATGAAAAAGTTTGAAATATTATTTGAATTACAAAAAGGTGACACAAAGACACAAAGTAAGCAAATGCTATTAGAAAAATGGTACTGGACTTCCCTGGTGGTGCAGTGGTTAAGAATCCACCTGTCAATGCACGAGACACGGGTTCAAGCCCTGGTCCAGGAAGATCCCACATGCCACAGAACAACTAAGCCTGTGCGTCACAACTACTGAGCCTGCGCTCTACAGCCCGTGCTCTAGAGCCCATGTGCCACAACTACTGAAGCCCACACACCTGGAGCCCGTGCTCCACAATAAGAGAAGCCACCAAAATGAGAAGCACGTGCACCACAATGAGAAGTAGCCCCCACTCGCCACAACTAGAGAAAGCCTGCTCGCAGCAACGACAACCCAATGCAGCCAAAAATAAATAAATACATTAAAACAAACAAACAAACAAACAAAAACCCGCCAAAGCTGCTAAGTGCAATAAAGTGAAGCACAGTAAAACACAGTATGCCTGTTATCTGGAACTAAGTTTGTATCTCTTTTTTGAATGAACACCAGAACCAAAGGCTTTCACTTATAACACCTAGGTCAAGAAACTTACCCTTTGGCTTATGTCTCATTGAAAGGAGTTTCATCAAAACCATGCAAAGCCTAAGTTTCAAAAAGACAGCTTTTGACATACCTATCCAACACACAACCTTAGGGATCATCTTCTCCAAAAGGCAGTGGATTTTGCCATATTTTTTTCTGAACTACTGTTGACTTTACGTATTACAAAACACATTTTATACCAGCAGCAGAACTGAAGTGATGGAGATGGAAAGCAGAGTACAAAATAAAGGCCTCAGGGGCCAAATGTTAGAATTCTTGGGTGTAAAACCTCACCATTTCGTCAAGAGATGTGTCTACTCATAAATGTCCAGAAGGGTTCTTTGCAAATGCATTGAAGAGTTTATCTCTAAACTTATAAACACCCATCCACTCTCAAAGCACCTTCTTATGAACCATCTGTTCTGCTTAACGCAAGTCAAAGGTAACTTGGCAATTTAAAATTAATGTATCTTCTTTCAAAGCAAATTGTGCTTGTGGTTGGTTTTGAATGATTCTGAATGATTCTACAAATCTACAACTTCTAGCCATCCAGTTTTCCTAAGATACAAGATCAACCCACCAGTTATTCTACTGCATCACCAAACCATAACAAATGTGGACAATACAGATCATTTAAAAGTAAGTTTCTCAATCTTTTTTCAACTGGAAAGTTAGCTAATATTCTGAGACACATTGGGGTCAGGTCAGAGGAAAGGAAAGAACTTTATGTATTACAGAACACATTTTACATCAGCAGCAGAATTGAACTGACGTGACTAGCAAGCCAACAATATCAGTCTACCAATTTATACCCCAAATCACATTCAGCAGAAACACACAAACGCACCCAGCTTTGCTACTTTTTCTACCATTAGTAAACTCTCAAGTAGTCAAGTACTAAGCAAACTCAGACGAGGAAAATTATGAAATCCTACTTCATTACAAAACGTCAAACGGCTTTTTAATGATACATGAAAGTGGTCCAATGCAATGACACAGAAACAGGTTTTAGATGCTCCAAAATACCAAGAAAAAAATGGAACATAATTTTTTTTACTCTCTCTATAAATAATTTCTGTAACGTGGCCTGCCCCCCAAACTAAAAACTGATAGCTGATTTCCAAAACATCTATTGTACATTATTTCAAATCCCCTACTTCACCAAACTTGAGTGAAAGAACTTTCTAGACACCAGTTCTACTTAGGGGTGGGGGGGAAAGCTCTTAAATAACCTTGTCTGAGAAATGGCTTTTCATGGCCAGTTAGGTCTCAAGTTACATAGACAACAACCAGACTATAAGGCAGAATTTATGGACCAACACATGGTGGCAGAAATAGTGAGGTCCAAGTTCTTGCAGTAGGTAAGGCAGGTGCTGACCTGCTTGGCAATCTGGTGTTATCCGGAGATGCTAATACGTGAAGTTACATGTCAGTGCACAGTGTCTCCTTTTGCCTCATGTTGAGAAAATACCCAATAACAAAGATCAAAGTGTCCCAACACGCAGAAGCACCCTGTGAGCCAAGAGTCAGGTAACACAGGTAAAAGTAAATCTGATTCCCAAACAGTTCCAAAAGTTCCCAAACAACTTCAGAGCACCAGAGAAGCCAAAGGGGCTTACTCCCTAAAACTAAAGGTAGTACCTGTGATACTGGCATTTGTTTTAAATCCATTTTTGCAGACAGCTTTCTACAGACAGCTGCAAAACACTCTTCTGAGAGCTCCAAAGATTTAAGAACACATCCAAGTTAGCAGAAAAGCATTTCACAAGAAGGAACTGCCTGCCACTGCCTCACAGCATTAGCAAACAAGGGCAAAGTTCACCACATGCAAGAGAAAGGGAATCACACATTCACGACAGACAGGCTTACAACTCATACAGTTTCTTACACCTAAAACAAGAGACAACACCCAAGCTACTGCTGTCCACCTTTTCCAAAATCCCAGCTCTTGCATAAATCCCACCAGACTCAAGAAAACGAGCCCAACCTCACCCCAAACAGGGTCGTGAGCATCACCGACTACATGGAGAGTGGAGCGCTGTAAGAAACGCGGGAGGGGCGCAGGACACACACCACAACAAAACAGAGGCGACTCCAAAACTCTCAGGCGCTAACCATTTCAAAGGCACAAGGCCAGACGGCCAGGGTCCGGCAGGCTGGGGCCCCTCATCAAGCCGGTAGCCGCCAGAGGAACCCCCCCCAACCCCCGGCCAATCTAACGACAGCAGGCCCTCGAATTAACCCGTCAGGCCGCTCTCCCACCTCCCAAGCACACAACTAACAGGCTCTTGATAACCTGGGGGCTGTTGGGGGCTCTCTAACGATACAGAGAGCCCCCCAAGCCGTCCGGAATGGCAGGATCCCCCAACTCCTGCCTTGGCGGCGGCCATCACAACAAGAAAACGGACTTTTACGACAACTCCCACAATGCCCGCGGCCTACAACTCCCAGAGTGCGCCGGGCGGCGCCGCGGTTAACCCTATCGTGGCGCCGGGGCTGGCGAGCCCTTCTCCTCTCCCCCTCCCAATTCCCAATTGTTGCACTTACTTTCACCCTCACAGTCCGAAACTAACTTTGGAAATTTTGTCAAGCAGCTACAGTTATGCTATCTTGGTGCCTTCTTTCAACATACAAACAACCTCAGCTGCCCAGAAAATTATCCCTGACAGAGAACTTTTTGTTATTTCCAGAGCTGTCCTCACAGTGCCAAATGTTTATCATTTACGGGGACATTTAACTTCAATTAATCTTCCCCTTCGCGCTTATAATTTTCTGGCATTTTTATGAATTATTATAGCTTAGAGCTTTTGGTACTCAACTTTATTAATTTAAAATCTGTTTTCTAAGTTCTGGGAATCAAGAGAGAAAGACTATCCTGTAACTGACCACAATGTTCTACATCTCTCCATTTCATAAGACGAATTTCCTCAAATATTTGACTAAGAAATTCATGCAACTCTAAATAAGTCCTAATAAGACAAATTAGTTGTGGGTAATATATCTTTTAAATTTCAAGTTAAGTTTTTTTTAAGGGAAAACCTCATGTGCCAACATACTTTGCTTTCCCTTTTCTCTTCTATTGATAGACAATCAGATATAGCATAAACTGCTGCTTTATTCCTTTCTGACTAAAATATCAGCAAACAACAGGTAAAGAAACATTTTAATATAATCTGAAAAATAAACGAAGACTTCATTCTTTCAGAAAACTGCACAGCACATCTTTTTCTCACGAAAGAACTCCTTTAAAGTCTTTTGCATTTTAATTAAAAGTAAGGTTTAAAATACATTTCTTTTAAATATATGGCCCATAATTTCAGTAAAGATGACAATCGCATTTAGAGCTCACTGTATCACCAATATAAATTAAGTGTCTAAGCTGTACTTACACAAACTAAATTACTCAGACGTGTAACTGACTGACAGACAAAATAATTGTTTGGTATTTGACGCATGCACTAAAACAACAACTAGAATTCTCCTAAAGTATCTGCTCTTTTTCTTATACCCAAATATAAAATAAAATGTACACAATGTCTGATTTTTCCATTGGAGCATTTTGTCATTTGAAAGAGCACTCAAAATGTATCCTGAATTTCAAAGCACAAAACTCAGAAATCCTAATACACAAACAAAAACCCAAAGCCTTCTTGGAAAGATACATCATCAGCAAAGCTCTATTCTACAATATTCTATTTTAAACGTATCTTTTCATATTACATTTAGCTTATTAGTAAATGTTTTGATCTAGTAAACTACAATGAGAAAATATTTCTCCATCATTTATTTTTTTCACTCATGTTACAGTACGTAGTTTCATTAACAGTTAGGATAAATGCTACATACCAAGACATAAAAAATTATACATACATATATGTTTTGAATTTTAGTTCATTATACTATTTTAGCTTCTGTATTTTTCTAATTTTCACTTAACACTTCAGTTAGAATTTAGGTAGAAGAAGTTGCATTGTTTTCCCCCTGTTTTTTAATAGCTGCCAGACCATAAGAATTTAATGCATATTTTATATATTATTCTCCTGATGTTAAAATATATGATTCATAAGAAAGGCTAAGATACACGTCAGAAATGAAACTTATCTCCTCGTATATGTATTACATGCTTACAACTCTCTTCTCAGTGCTATGAGATTA